TTTTTTTTTTTTTTTTTTGCTGAGCAGACACAAGGAAAACCTTCTGGAGTGAAAAACTATGATCGATAAGGTTGGATATTAACTTTTTTCCATTTTTATAAACAAATGAAGTCATGGACAACTTTTTCTATAGTGATTTTTTTTTGGCGAGTTCGGTCTGGAAGGATAAAAGAGAGATGTTTTCTAACAGTGATTCAATCAGACGAAAAATTCTCGTGCAGTCCAAGGAAATCAAAGATCCGCTTCCACGATTTCGTCTATATGGAATCTCTTAATATGAGAAAATATTTCTGCTGAATTAAACCATTTTTTTGGAGAAAACAAGATTTAGACTTTCATTGGTGATGCTATACCGCTAGTGGCAATTAAATTGCAATGAAAAAAAGTTGAAGAAAGGAAGCATATGACCTACATGTAAGTTGCCAAAGAGTCATTAGCAACCATTACAGAGCAAAGTTCAGACATTCATATTGAGTTATTTTAGAACAGCAGAGACAAATCAACCCAACGATCATCAACAACGTTCCACTACTAACATAGCAGTATGTGTAAAAGCCCAAAATTTTCGTGGAATTTTGTTAGGTGACTTGTCGGCAAAGGAAGGAATATTGTTATAAAAGAGTGGAGAAAATAATAGTCATGTCCTAATGACTATGGTTCAAGTCATTTGGAATACATGAACACGGTTGCAAGAGACAGAGAATGTACTAAACTTTATTATATAATAACATTTAAGACTGACTTTCCTGCAACAAGAGTTAAGGGGATATGATGCATATTATTTATTATGTGTTCTTCACATTCAAAGCCGAGATCGGTGCTAAGCACTTGGATAAGTGATAACAGTTCCAAAAATCAAAACTGAGGAAGAAATGCTTGTGCTCGAACACGCTCATGTTGCTAGATTTCCACTGAACTTCAGCAATGTTAATGCAGAATGGGTCACTGCACAGCGATTGCTCTAATGATATAAAAATCTCAATTAAATGATAAATGGTACAATGAATGAATTCATTTCTGTACCATAACATTTACTTCAGTGTCCAACCTAAGACGGAAAGCATTTTTAGAAGGCAGTTAAACATGAATCATAGTAAAAGTCAACATCATTTCAAAATCCTCTACAATAAAAGTGAAAAGCTTTTTGGCATTTCCGTTTAGCCAGTAAAGGCTATCAATACAGAAGAGTTCAAGGATTTAAAAAGCTAAGAGATGATGACCAAAGTATAGGATCATGTTAGGCATGACGAAGTCTTGTAAATTAAGGATAGATGATAAAAAATTAAGCACGGTTGTAAGGGCTTGAAGTGTGGAAAATATATTAAAAGTAGCCAGTACAAATCTTTCCTTGATGTGTCATGCCCAGTGTATTTTTGATTTTATGTGGTAGGTCAGTACACATTTCCAATTTTCTTGCAAAGGGACTAGAGGTGATGACCCTGTGACCGAATATTACCAAATATTGTCGTACCTATACAAATAACAAACTAAACCTTGTTTCCCAAAAGTTTTAGGTCAGCAGCATGAACCCTTTTTTCCCACTCCATTGACTAGTTGCTAAATATACTAGAAGACCCTAAGCAACTGGATTCTTAAAACAAGCCATTTAATTTTGTCTACCCATCCGTCTTTTAACTTGTTCGGCTGAAATCGCATCCCTCTTAAGAACATATACATCTTTATGTCTATGCAAAATATGTCCTAACCACCTCGCCGTTCCCTTAATTTGTCCTCACCCTTTTCCATGTATTCTAATTTCTTTTTTATTCATCTCAGCATCCTTATTTTGCTACATTCATTTGATGGACATTTGGTTCTTGAATAGCCCAACACTCAATACTATAGAGCATAGCAGGTCTGAAAACAGTTCTGTAGAATTTCTTCTGCACATGTGTGCTGCATAATATTACTTCCTGTAGGTCTAGATACAAAATCCAAGTGCATTTTGAATTCTTAATTTTGTGCTGCTTTATAAGATCCTAAATGTTTGAGATACTTGTAAAAAGAATGAAGAAACTCCACTAATTAATAGTTCTTTCCATTTCTATCGGTGCTTTGTGCTGCAAATTGCTGTAATCGTTTAAATCATGCTAGGAAGACTATGGTATTATCGAAATGGATAGTTCAAACAAGGGGACTTCATTGTTTGGCAGCTGATTAAGGGATTACATTTTCATCATGCTCTCTCACTCAAATTTTTTAACTTGTAAAAAAATTAGTTCAAATTTGACAAGAATAATTTCTTGTTCCAATTACAAAACCTCAAGCTGTGCTACCAACTGCAGCTTTAAAGAATTCCTGCTTGAATTTCAAATTATTCCGATTCCAACCTAGTTCCACATGGAATTTCTAACTACCAACAAAATAATTGAATTGATGATAATTTAAGTACGCTAACCAACCATATAGAAAAATGCAAAGAAATCAAGCATCGGAAATTATACAGAAAAAAGAAGTCGAGAAACAGTACCTGATTGAGATTATTGTCACGGAGATGCGCAACGACTAGAGCATTTACATGGTGGTAAAGCTTTCGATCCTGCAGTGTCAGCTCCAGGCCATTTGTGTTCAAGTTGCTGCTGTCTATCCAATCATTACTACCTATATTTTCAAGGGAAGCCTAAATGCTTTTGTAGGGTTAGTAGAGCCCAAACAACAAGGAAAAATTCGAATCACTTTTCAGTGAAGTAGTAATGGATGCAAACTCTAAACCTGGATGGGTTGGAGATGAAAAACCTGCTACTGGCCAGTGACAAAATTCTTATTTATACAAAGAGGAAATTGGTTGCTTGCCTAGAGCAACATGAGAGTTAAATGTTTCATTCGTCACTTAAACTTAACGGAGCTTCCCAATGGCCACTGAACTTAACTTCATTGCACTAAACCGGCCACCGCCGGATGGATTCCGTCTGTGTTTGTGTCTACTTGGAGGACGGAAATGTGACGTAGCACTTAAAATTCTCCACATGTTAAAAGATTTGAACACGTGGACGCCAAATCACCAAACAAACCCTTAAATG